AAAGTAGAAACTGGAATGCAAAGAAGAGAGGGGTAACAGCTCATAAGCCAGGATTGGGAATGGAGTTTGAGAGTCTTGGTGAAGAGCATCCTGGAGGTGTAGAGCTACTGTAGGTGATTTTAGAAATGATGATGTTGTGTTTATAAATTGGATCCCCTTTTATGTTCTTTAGGAAGTACAAGGCAAGACAGGAACTACTTGTTAATTACCTTTGTTTCTTGTGGGTGTCTTTTTATGAAATGATGCTGAATTGTCCATGTAGGACCCTATAAGTTATGAGAGTTACATACAAAATGCTTCCCATTTCTTTAGTTGATTACATGGGGCTTGCTGCCATAGAACTGTTCTCTCTCAGATAATCAGTGCCACAGCCCTAATCGGAACAGCTTAGGGGAATAAGCTAAAGGGGATCCAGGAAGGGCAAGACTGTGCTCAGCCCAGATGCTATAGGCATATGCCACAACTCACTAAATCATCTCTAAACTTCCTCTCAGAGTCCTGGTGTGGTACTGCAGGATAATGCGCTGGACCACAAGGTCATTTTGAACCTCAAGGTCAGCAGCTCAAAGCCACCATCCCCTCCTCAGAAACCCTATACAGGGTCACTTCCTATCCACTGTGGTAAAGGACAGCTGCCCCAGACTTTTTGACTCATTGCCTACCTTCACAATGCCATTGACCATGTACTGAAAGGTTCTATTGCTAAATCCCTCACTGGCAATTACAAAGACAGTGTACTGGAAGTAGCCTGCTGGTCCCGAGTGTGTGTGAGTGCCACTCAGGATCACGTTGTCTCTTCTGTACAAGGAACCGTATTTACTCTTCAGCCTGTTCAGCACCTTAAAGGAAAAAAAAAAAAAAGAAAGGAAAAACATAAAACAAAGCAGCTCAGCATGCGGAAACGTCCCGATGAACTTAATCACCTACCCATATCATTAACATAGCCATCAAGCAGCTATTAAGTTTATGCTTGAGATCATAGCAACAACACTACTGTTGATAATAATAGTAATTACACACACTACATCATTTTAACAGGAATATTGGTGGTGCTGTGGGTTAGGTATTGAGCTGCTAACTACACAGTCGGCGGCCCAACCCATCAGTTGTTCCACAGGAGAAAGATGAGACTGTCGGCTCTGATGAAGATTTACAGTCTTAGAAACCCTATATTGGGTCACTAGGAGTCAGAGTTCACTTGATGGCAGTGGTGGTGGTGGTGATGTGCCATTGAGTCGGTTCCGACTCATAGCGACCCTGTACAGGGTTTCCGAGGCTGTAGATCTTTACGGGAGCAGAAAGCCTCATCTTTCTCCCGCGGAACAGCTGGTAGTTTCGAACTGCTGACCTTGTGGTTCACAGCCCAACTCGTAACCACTACGCTACCAGAGCTCCTTATTGAAGCTTAAGGGAGTTCAATTATTTGCCCAATGAACTAATGAGTATCTAAACCAGGACTGGGCTCAAGGTTTTCTAACTATAGCCCCAATACTCTTAGCTATTCATCATGCCACACTGAGTATTCATATCCAGGCACTACTCTAAGCCTGAGCAATAGATAAAGTGGCTACACTCAAGAATTTCTTATCTTATTAATAAAGAAAAACAGACAATAAATGAATAAGTAGGTAGATTACATCATCTAAAATGAGGTAGACCCTCAAGGAAATGGATTGACATAGTGGCAGCAACAGTGGGCTCGCACATAACAATGGTGAGGATGGCATGTTACCAAGCAGTGTTTTCTTCCGTTGCACAGAGGGTCACTATGAATCAGAACAGAATCAATGGCAACTAGCAATAACAATCATGTTCGTCATAGTGCACAACCATCACGACTGTCTGCTCTCAAAGCTTCCATTACTCTTAACAAAAGCTTAGTCATCCCAAGCAATAAGTAAGTCCTTCAATCCCCTTCCCTGCCATCCCTGGTAGCCACTAATATACTTTGGTTCCTATACATTTGCTTATTCAAGACATTTTATATGTTGTCATTGTTGTTGTTAAGTGCTGTTAAGTTGCTTCCAACTCATAGCATCCCTATCAAGGGCTCCCAAGGAGCAGCTGATGGATTTAAACCTCTGACCTGGAGGTTGGCAGTCCAGTGCTTATCCCACAGTGCCACAAATAAATGGGCTTATATAATATGTGTCATGTTATAACTCACTTATGCCACTCAGCCTAATATTTTCAAGGTTTATCCATGTAGCAGCCCGCATCAGGACTTCATTTCTCTTCATGGCTGTGCATTCTAGTGTGTGTGTGTATGTATCCATTCTTTATCCATTCATGTACTGATGCACATTGTTTCCCGTCTTCACTATTGTAAAAAGAAATGCTGCAATGAACATTGATGCCCAGTTCTCTGTTTGAATTCCTGCCTTCACTTTCTTGGGTACGTACCCAGAAATGAAATGGCTGGGTCAGATGGTAGTTCTAGGAGTCCTGGTGGAGCAGTGAGCTAAGCATTGGGATGCTAACATCAAGAATTGTGGTTTAAACCCACCAGTCACTTCCCAGAAGAAGGATGAAACTATGTACTGGAAACATTCACAGCCTCAGAAACGCAGTGGAGCACTGCTACTCCATCTTATAGGGTATCCATGAGTAGGAACCAACTCACTGGCAGTGGGCATGGTAGTTTTATGTTTAACTCTGAGGAGTTGCCAAACTGTTCTCCACAAAGTCTGTGCCATGTTACATTCCCACCAATGATGCATGAGGGGCCCAATTCCAGAAGGTCATTTTGAAGCAGGAAACCTTCTGTAGAGCACAGAGCCTGAGCAGCACAATGGCTGTTTGATTCTCAGGTCCAAAGAGAACTGTCCTAGGGTGTAGTAGATTTGGGTTTCATCCTGGTACCCATCCTCCAGTGCCCCACTTTCTAGGACACAGATCCAGGTCAGTACTGTCAGCTTTATCATAACTGTATTTCTGGGAAATTAACATATTATATTACTTATAGGAGTAAATATGTTCTGAGTTCTAAAGAACCCAATGGAAAATGAACTTTGGGGACTCAACCTCCATTTAAACTAGAAAATGTTTGAAAATAAAATAGGTAACATTTTAAGCACACACAAAAGAGATTCTATCATATAATGATAAACACAATGAAGTAAAATATTTCTGGGTAAGAGAAAGGAATTGTGGATGTTAGTGAGAAGAGATCCTGCTGAAAAGAACTATCCAACAGAGGCTTAAAGGAGGAGAACGGGCTGCTTGCATCATAATGAGGAGATAAGCTTTCTGAACAGAGTAAAAAGTACAAAGGTCTCTTTACTTTTCACTTCCCAAGATGAAGAACTAGATATTCTCTGACATCCATGATTAATTACCCTTACTATCTGTGGCAAGCCAACTGTTATGAGGTATGGACATTTTATCAATTGTGTACAGAGGCTCATGTGGAGAGAAACCATCTTGTCAGCACCCATTTACTATCCAGGTGGGTAGCAATCTTCAAGGGGAATCTTCAGCTTCAGTGAAGCTTTCAAACAACTTCAGCCGGTCAACATCTGAGTGCAACCTGATGACATAGAAAGTACACCACCCAACTCAGCCACTCTTGAATTCCTAGCCCACTAAGACCACAACCAATACTAAATGATGGCTGTTTGAAGAAGTCTCTGGCTACTACAAAGGAGTCCTTATGGCACAGTGGGGTAAGCACTGGACTTCTGATCAAAAGATTGATGGCTTGAACCCACCAGCCACTCCACAGGAGAAAGATGAGACTTCTTTGTCAGAGGTGCTTTTGACTTCTTTTTAATGTCAAAAATGTGAAAATGATCCAGTAAATGCCATTCCTTGTTGCTATGTGCTCTTGAGTCAATCTAACTCATAGGGACTCTGGAGGACAAAGTAGAACTGGTTTCCTAAGTTATAATGTTTATGGCAGGAGATCACCAGGGTTTTTCCCCCACAGAGCCGCTGGTCTGTTAGAACCACTGTCCTTTCAGTTCACAGCCATGTACTGAACCACCGTGTGCCCAGGACTTGTTGCAATATAGATTCTGCCCCCTATACCCAAGAGTAATGAGGACAACTCTTTAAGAGCAGGAATAAAAAAAATAACTGTTTATTTCATGTATGTAGTTCAATCTACTGGTAGCTACTGTCATTCGTCATGTGTTGACAAGAATTCTGAGCTAGGGCTTTGCAATAGAGAGCACCCTTCAGCAACTGTTGTTGATATTAAGTGCTGTCAAGTTGGTTCCAACTCACAATGACCCTATGGGGTTTCTGAGAAGTGGCTTCTGGGTTTGAGCCACCAGCACTGTGGTTAGCAGACCAATGTTTATCCCACAATGCCATGCCAAGGTTAGTAATGTCTAACTTGGATATGAGTCCAGTGTGGGGTTATAGGATAAGCACTGGACTACTAATGCCCCTCAGAAATCTTATCCTAAACTAAAATCTCTGATATGAAGCCAAGCACGTGGACTTCGGGGGAGGAAAATAAATTTTAAACTTAGTAATATAATAACTAATGATAGCATAATCATTATATTTGCAGTGGGAAGCAGGTTTCCAACCTCTTGGTAGAAGAGGTATTTTAAACCAAAATAAATCACGTACATTAATATCTTCGGAGAGCTCTCCAATTTCCTTTTTGTTTCCATTCCAATTCTTATTGTTGGCACACTTGGGAGCATGACTTAGAAAGAGTTACAAAGTCATCCTGTTTTCCTAGCCATTCTCACTGCTCATAAACCTTCCTCAATTTTTATTCCATGCTGGGAATTTCATCGATCTTAAAACTAAGACTGAGAACCTGCCTAAAACCAGGTACTATCAATAAGCTTAATGGCACTTGTTTAACTACCTTTATTTTTTATACCTTCCCTTGGGTTAACTTGGGATAACTAAGTGGATTCATTTAAAGACCTTCCCACTGTGTCTCAGATCACAGGTAGTAGTGAAAACAGGGAGAGATGGTTAAATGGTACCTACTATTCCTTTTAGAGTCCTCGTATGGCACTGTAGAATAGGCACTCAACTACAAGGTAATTTGAACTGCAAGGTCAGCAGTTCAAAATCAACAGCCACTCCTCAGAAACGCTATTCAGGGTCGCTATGGGTCAGCACTGGACCACAAGGTTGGTTTCAACCACAAGGTTAGTTGTTCAAGTTTGTCAGCTGCTCCTCAGATACCCTATACAGGATCACTATGAGTCAGAACTGATTTGATAGCACTTAACAACAACATCACTTTATAGCATCTACAAACCAACACATTAGACCCTTCTCACCACATGACCTCACCTCCAGAACCTACCTCTGCGCTCTATTTCTGTAAAGTGTCTTTGTGGTGAACACGATCAGCACAATTAGGTGCTAACCACCCAGAGGTTTGAATCCACCCAGAGGTGCCCCAGAAGAAAACTGTGGTGACCTGCTTCTGAAACGAATCATCCACTGGAAACTCGACGGAGCACAGTCCAAGGTCACCAGGAGTTTTATTTTTATTTCAGCTAATGACCTCCCATTTTCCAATCAGAATCGTCCTTGAGTCCTCAGGAAAGCTGTGGCTATATAGCACAGTGGTGCTAAGAGTGGACTGTATACCAAGATGCCTGTGTTTGAAACCTACCTCTGCCAAGTCCTTCCTTTACCACTTTGGGCAAATGACCTGATTTACAGCCACTCTGTTTCCAAGTCTATCAAATGAAGCAATAATAGCACTTCTCTCTAGAGTTGTTTGGAGGACTAAAAAAGTTAATATATGCTGTTGTTGTTGTTGTTAAGTACTGACAAGTCAATTCCTACCCATAGTGACCCTGTATAGAGTTTTCAAGGAGTGGCTGGTGAGCTTGAACTGACCACTTTGTGGTTC